CATAATCCAAATCAGATTGCTATGAATAAAAGAGAAGAAGAAAAAAAACGAGAGACAGAAAAGAAAGAAAAAGAAAGAAAAAGAAAGAATGATAGAGAACAATAAAACGTCAAACGAAAGAAAGCATATGCACTCAAATGCAAAAAGAGATATGCAGTAGTAGATAACAGGACTTGACAATAAACAGACGCAAAACGTAAGTTTTTTTTGTATAAGATAGGTTGTTATTAAGCATAAAATAGTGACTTGTTCACTTGTTATACATTCTTGTCCTTTTTCATCTCAGCTGGAAATCAAATAGCTGATTGACAGATTGTCTAATTTTTACTAACGAAAAAACTAGCAATAGTTCATTTCCTGCTGAGACTATGAGTTTCTTTTTTTTTTGCTATATTAATGTTATCTCGTTTTCTTTATTCTCATCGATCATCTCTATGAAGACAGGCTTATATTTTTTCTCTAAACGGATATTGAAACAAGTAGTTGCTTCATTTTTATGATGATGGATATCCGTAGACAGCTGTTGAGGTGTTTGTATGATTGCATATACTTAATTAGTGTTGATAGATTCTCGTTTTGATTGAGAAGAAGAAGAATAAATGGAAAAAATATTTCCAAGAATAAGACCTAAAAAAAACCGAATACGACTTAAATTTCATATTGGAATTAAATATAAGCTTTCAATCAAATTTTTTTCTTGTGCTATAATTTGTATCAATATGTATCCTAAGATCAATAAGTACAATAAACGAAAAAAAACGAAATGATTTTTGTCCTATTCATTTTTTTTCCTTCTTCATCTGATCGATATCATACGAATCAAATTAATCATGTTACTGTTAAATAAGGTGATGTCGCATATCTTATCTTTTTTCGATTATATGAAGAAGGGAACGTGCGTGTGTGTATGTATGTATATGTCTATGTGTGTGAGAACAATAACAATAAAGGAGTAGAAAAAAAAATGATAGGTTAATGACAATAGAATAGTGAGTTTTTATTTTCTTGTCTTTCCATATTATTATTAAAAAGAAAGAAGAAGCCAAAGAAAAAAAAAGATGCGTAGTAATATAAGTTCGTTAGAGATGACATCTGTCTTTCAACATGAGCATGATAACAGTGTCAATTTATCTTCATTTTTATACTAAACACTTTTTTTATCAGCTGAGTTTTTAATATACTAACAATAAATAAGCGTCAAGACAAAATATTAGTTTTTCTATTAAAGAACAATCATATGGTAATTATGAAAACGTTCTTAGTCCTGTTTTAAGCCATCTGTATTTGATTCCCGAGTATAACTTATATATATAAAACGTATAAGAATATTAAAAAAAAGACGACACGCACACAATATGCATTCTCAGATAGTATAAGATAAGAGAGACATTTTTATATCATACATTGCACCTGACATATCATTTTCTATCGCTCTCTCTCTCTCTTAAATTATGACAATACCTATTTAATTTTAGAATATTCAATGATTGATCATTCAAACGATTCTTCACATTATCAAACAATGACAAATCTTCTTTCTCCATCATCATCTTCATCATCATCAACAATAACCTATAGCAATCATCATCATCATCAACAACAACAACAACAACAAGATCTACTTTATCCTTCATCTATCTACCATCATTCATCTGAAGTCATTGTTAGTCCACATCGTTCATCTCTTATGATTCAACAAAAACAACGAAATCAAATAATTGAACAAACAGATTCTGATTGTGATCTTGATAGTTCATCATCATCATCAATAACAAATTCATCTAAATTAAAAAAACGACGAGCTAATTTACCAAAAGATAGTGTAAGATAAAAAGACAACAGTTGTTCGGTTATATGAAACCAATATTTATTCTATATTTATAGGTTCGTATACTTAAAAATTGGCTTTATGAACATCGTTATAATGCCTATCCAACAGATGAAGAAAAAGCTAATCTATCTCATCGTGCTGATTTATCGATAAATCAAGTTTGTAATTGGTTTATAAATGCTCGTCGACGTATATTACCTGATTTATTAAAAAAAGAAGGTACTGATCCGAAAAAATTTACTATATCAAGACGTTTTTCACGTGATCAAAAACGTTCATCACCATCATTATCCGCTATATGTTCGACAAGTGGAGAAAATACATCAAATGAAACATCATCAACAACATCAACAACAACAGAAATAAATCTTGTTGTTGAACGAAGTTCATCACCATCGTTAATACTAACAAATAATTCTAGTGTTCTTAATAAACAATCTTCATTATCTATCGAACCTTGTTTTACAACGAGGCATCATGTTCTATTAAAACCAACACGTGATCCAACTGTTATTAATTTAATATCAAGTGAACAACAAACACGTCTTGCTTGTCCAAATGATTCATTAACAACAACTAGTAATACTACTGGTGATCTTGCCGGTTTTCAACTTCTTGTAGATGTAGCTGTTAAAGAATTACATCGAATACAACAAGATAGCAATAGTAGTTTACCACTACTTTGCAACTAATTTTCTTGTGTCTTCCTTTTTCCCCTATACCAGGAGAAAACATCAGCCATTTCTTTTTCTTTTTTTTTTGTGTAAACAGTATGTTTTTTTCTTTTCTCTTCTTTTAGAAGGGTCTTGTTTTTCTTTTTTTTTTATGTTCATGGTGCTCTAGTTCATTCATGAGATGAGGAATAAACGAAACATATATATATATTTATATATATGTCAAAAACTGTATAGATATACAATGACTTGTGTCAAATATTGGCTAATGTGATTTTATTTTGTCTGTTATATTGACAACGCCTTGTTGTCAATTCAATTAAGAATAATAGCTATACATTCTTCCGAAAGACTACACCATACAGAAAATGTATTGTTTTCTCTCTAAACAGAAGAATGAGTATATACAAAATGTTGTTTACATTGTCAGTCAATTAAAAGGGTAAAAGGGCCTCTCATTTTTTCCTTTTTGTTTAGTTATTCTCGTTGTCTCTTATATTTTTAGTCAATAGATTAATTTTGATTGATGATTGTTGTTTTATATCTATTTCTATTTAAAATTCTTCTATGCAACAAAAAGTATTTTGTTGTTCAATCTTATTGATCAAAATATATCCATCATACAGATGCGCATTCCAGTCAAACGTTATGTATGTGTCTCATCATTCACACTAC